ATTCCGGGTCAATATCATTTTGTCAAAGATCTAACATTGTCAATGTCTAATTCCATTACAGTATTGAAAATATGAAATCTCAAACGACAATGTTATTCACTGTATTCCTCTGTAATGAAGAGAACAATTGGTTCTCACTCACTCTATTGACTTCTAGTGTATCAGCTAAATACTGAACACATTCGGCGCACAGTCGCATTGTGCCATAAACTCAACGCTGTTGAAGTCTGAATCAGTGATAAAGGCACCTGATTTTTTCGTAGAGCATTGCTCAAGTAACGTACGCCTTGAGCACCCACTCTAAGTGTCTGTGTGTTACATATTTCGATATGCATGAAATATTCAGTAAAATCACTTACTATATTGCTTTCCAAGCAGCTGCTCAAGTACTGCATTCCTTGATCTGTTATATCGTTTGATCCAAGACACAAAATGGCCCGTGCCTATATTATATGAAGTCGAAATCGTACTAGATAACGAAAACTATACCTTACCGTATTATCTGTTAACGCCTCATTCAAATCTCTAGCTCCTTTCTCGCTAAATCTAGTACAGGAAAGTGTCAACGCCACTAATGCCTCAAGTAGATATTCATGATGCGAATAGAGCAGTATAAGCATAGAATACATTTATTAGATATTGTGCGCCGCCGTTGAAAAATCGATTTGCTCAAAGATCAAGGGTAGTAAGTACCTGAAATGACATGTGGACTATGTACGACTCAACTGTACTTCGTACTTTGTTATTTTGAAGCGCAATACTCAAAAATTTGAATCACCGATATCCAAAACTGTTCTTACAACGAATTAAAATCGTCAATATCTGTATATCATATGTGATGTTGAAAAATCAAAAGTTTCATCGAAAGGACGTATCGTACTGAAGTTGTTTCTAATCTATTCGCCAAATGTTGTATACCATCATCGTCAATATTATTTGAACCAATATTCAAACTTGCCACTGTCTACATGGCATAAATGGGATTAAGATTAGATAGATAGATAGATTAACGTATATCTAACTGTACTGTGTCGTAAAACATCACCAAAGTACTGCGTACCTAAATTGTTTATGAATTCTGTACCTAGTTATTTTTTAGGACGTTATATAAATATTGGGTACCTTGGAGTGAAGTCTTATTGGCTCCTGGGTTGAGTGTAACGAGTGTCTCTACATAATAAGGTGAATAAAAGAAACTGCTGATAGGGATTGTAGTACTTTATGACTGTACTATTCTGTAACGTATCAGCTAGGTATCGTACACCATTTGCACCGAGACCATATCACGCGAGATTCAAGTCTAAAAGCGTGTAGGTAAAAGCAGAGAAATACGATCTATAATTTGAAATATGGAAACTTCCTTTGTTGAGTTCTGTAAAAACGTCACTGGATAACGGAGCGCCCTTTGTTCTAAAATACGTTATGAGACAATTCTAAAGCAGTTACGGTCTACATAATCAAGTTAATAAACTATATAACTCGATAAAATATGAACGTACTGTATTATTTTGCAATACTCGCGTCGAGATCGTCTACTATTCAACTTAGTACACGATGAAAATGAACACTAAGGAAAATTTAATTTACGTTATTATGCTGTAATACATTGGCCGAGTACAGCGTATCACCAATGAATTTGTCCCAAACGTTTAACGTTGTAAATTGCTATATAAAGTTATAGTGCAAATCTATATAAACCATTTCATAGTCATAGCTTACCGTGTCAAGTTAGTAATAAACTGCTTAGGTGTCTCAGAACCGGGTGATCTAAATTTTTCTCCATAAAATTAAACTCAGTCGCTGTCTAGGTAGACAAAAACTGCAGTGACGTTTACTTGATATGAAGGATGGCTATTAATGAAAATATCTGATCGTTTACAAACCCCACATGCTAGAAATATGGATGTCGGTTCGAGTTGATCCAAAATTCGATATACAAAGAGACACGTTGATGTTTTTATTCTATCCGAGAATATAGTGTGAAAATGACAGAGAAAAGAGAAAAACACATGTCTCACACACGTCAGTTTTCGTTTTTATTCATGTACAATCTTTACAAACTTCGAGCCAATATTGATATGGCGGTAGTGACTTTAATGATGTTTGTTCGCTTATCTATGGTACTAAGAGCGACTATATTATTTATACTATCTGTCAAGCACTAGCAGCTTCTATATAAAATTCGTGATACCTTTTGGATCATCTTCACTGCTATTATTGAAGAGTTCTGAATTCGCTTGTCATTATGTTTTGTAAAATCTGACGTTCATCACTATTGCTTGACTACTACCGTTTCTGTTCATATCAGCTTCGACTGCATTTTTTCTTTATTTGATTTAATAACGTGTCTTAGAGAGAAGCGCGATGAATTTTAAATCTGCTTCTTCTCAATATTGTTCACTCGATGAGAGTGATATTCACTGAATTAATTTCGTTTAAAGAAAAAATAAAAATCGTTTTCGATTGTTTAATTATTATCCGGCCAAGTGAATGGTAATGATGCACGATTGAAGAATTCGACGACTGTATTAATACGAATGACGTTATTCTGATCAGCAACTAACTCAACATATTCATAGCCACTATTGATGAATAATGAATTGTTATTACCATTTTCAATTTGTCCATAGACATAAGGAACCATAACATGATACAAAGCAGATGTCGAGGTGTTACCGCTGACTGTCAATCGGATATCACCATCTTGACGAAACAATGCTGGTTTAGTAGCTTGATTGAGTTCACAAAAATTCATTAGTTGACTGTATTGTAATCCAGCGGGAAATTTAGGATGATACCAAACAGCATTGTTTGTAAAGACATTTAACCATTCCGAACAAGGTACGATCCATAATGAAAAGAGATGTTTAATACCGCCTTCGATCAATGCAGTTATATTTCCAGTATGCAATGTGTCCGTGGCATTTATAACATTGACAATAAACACAGAAGCGATTATCAATGAAACTAAAAGGCTTAACTGATTCATGTTCGATCGCTAGATATACTGAATATTAATTTTCTTCACATTATCGGCGATATTTATATCTGAAACATTTGCCTGGTAACCATTTAGTAAGCGCATGATATTTTGTAGTCTTATTTTGCTTAGTCATGATCGAGCTAGTTGATATTTATCTTGAATGAGAGTCGAAACAAATGGCAAAAATTTTGAAAGTATCTTGATACATCATTATTACACGTAATCGGTTACAATATGACGATAAATATTTTGAGGGTGATGCAAAATGTAAAGGAATAAGTGTAAGCAGCAACAAAATGAAAAAGAAAATCGAATAAAAATAGAAGAACACCACAAGACTGCCGCTGGATTTGTTCGTGTCAACAATACATGCATGAAATCGATTTTTTTCTCTCTGGTTATTGTTACACGTAATGTAATTTTGAGAGGATTAAATGAAAATGGAAAGTTTCAGTTATAGAAAAAAGCAATCGTAAAATAGTTAATATATTGATTATTGAAGTCCTTTTCCACAAGATCTAAACGGAAATAAAAGGTTTCATCGAGATGAAGGTTTGTATTTTTTACCCAGAGATTGTTCTTGCTGAAAAACATTCAAGAGAATTCGAATATTTAGCCAAACACGCTACTAAACATGATGATGATGAGCAGGAGAATGACGTTGCCCATCCTATACGTGTCTGTTTATTTGGGCAGTAACAATCACACACATGAAATGCTGTATGACCATTATTGACAAGAACGAAAATGATCAGAACGACGAGAGGAAGCATGATGATACAAATATGTGTTTTTTTGCGTGGTTTTGCATCTGATTTATATATCAACAGTTGATGATCATTTCTACATACCTTCTGGGTATGAAATAATTCTCATTGAATTAAGTATGCACTTCTCTCAAGTATTGGTTCAGAATGTATTCATCTCGATAGTTATATTTAATACTTAATTCATCAATGTGTCAACAAGATCATGAAAAAGATCGAAACTCATTTTGCCATCGGGATTCTTGAGTTTATACATATCAAACCAGCTCTGATCAGCTTCAGGATGTGGTCCGACCATACCCACACGTCCTTGACCAAAGTGTTGTACCGCAGCAGCAATCTTTCCATTTGTGTATGTCGCTAAAACTTCCGTTGTTGCTGCTTTTTTGTCAAGATCGAAACGTGTGCCATCTTGAAAATATACATGTCGCAATTTCCCTCGCCAATAGAGTGGAACGACAGTATCGATTTCAGTAGTAACAACAGCACCTTTCGATGTGATGTATTGATCGGTTTGGCCGGAACCTGGTAGAAGATCAAAGCCAGGTTTAGTTCCAGCTAAATAACCACCGAGACAAATGCCGAGATATCTTCCACCCTTCTTTACGTATTTACGAATCGCTGCAGCATATTTGCGAACATGTGGCCAGGCTACGTCAAGATCACCACCACCAGGTTGTACATACAAAGCTGCTGTTGATAGAGTCGTAGCATCGATATTAACTTTCTCTTTTGGTCCAGCGTAGATAATTTTGTATTTGTCTTGAAGAAGCACTGCGACAGATTCTGAGCAACCTTTACAAGTAGCAGGACCTCGATAGATCAATGCTATCGGTTTCTTGGAACTAACTAAATGATATAAGTTCACTGCGAAAAACAGATGAAATAAAATCCAACGATGCATCATGGTTGTTTTAGAAACACGAAAAAAATATTTTTTTTCGTTGATTTTTGATCAGAGATGATTTAAGAGCTTAAAATTTTTTCTCTCTTTCTTTCTCACCCACATTCTCTTTACATATTTACCTTTGAATATCTTTGCCATTATGGTGGAAAGAGTCGTCGGCAATCAGTGTAATTAAATCCTGTAGTTATTGTGACATAGCTCTAGATCTTTTGATTAATGCGTATATTTATTTTGTAACGCATATCTATCGCACATTCTAAATTATAAATATCGTAATTGTATGTGCGAATGGTCCAATTTCGATCATTCTGTGTTTTTGAAAGAATAAACGATACGACGGAATATGACCAAACTTCTTCTCATCATTGCTATTGTTTTTGGTAAGAACTATGCACATACATATTTTTCTCAATAATTTGCTACCGTTTTCTGCAGCCGTTGTTGCGGTGACTTCGAGTATCGATTGTTATGCTGGAGTTCCCAACGCATATCTTGTCAAAACTGGCTTTGATGCCTGTTATGTACGTAGTTTTTAATATCAGTAGACAAACAAAGAAATAAATTCAATCGTTCACTATTTTAGTCATGGGTAGTTGGCAATAATATTGTTATGAAAGCTGGCGCTACTGGATATACATGCGCAAATGCACCATCTCATTACAAATGCTGCTCAACTAACCTTTGTAATGCGTAACACAACTGATTCAATTCATTGGCTTCTTTTCTTTCCTCCATAAGATGTCTTACGCTTTCTATGTAATAAACATCTTTATTTAAACTTTATTTCAAAACTCTTCCAAGGACAGAGAGTACTGTCTATTGATCTCCTTTGGAAACGATGATTCGTTTTGACTCCTTGCGTTCACGCATCGTTCGTCTGTCAACAGAATGATTTACTTGGAAAGAACCATCTCATGAAGTGTATTTTGTGCTGTTCTTGGGTTTCTTATAACTACAATATATCGTATGTTTTTATTCTTACTATCGTGAGCCTATATCATGTGCTAAAATAAATTGTTTTCTTTCATTCATAATCTTTTTCCAATAAAAATCGAAGTCTCTGACAATCGCAAATTTACCTCTAACAGAATGCAACGTATAACTTTAGCTTCTCAAGAACTAACTGAATATAGCCAAGTCAATATTCAACTTAATCTTATAGTATAGCTTATGATAGCACACTTGTACAGCTTCTGGTCTCGTACATACATCACATCTCACAAATCAACTCTATTTTCATCCTCTATGAAAACAAAAACCCATACCAACAGTGGGTTAAGACGTGACTTAAAGTAAAACCACCAACGTACAATCAATGATTCGTCAATCTGAACACTATGTCATTCCTCTGAGTTTTGTGCAATCAGGAAAAAAACTGAATCAAGTATATCATGTGCACAATCGTGAATGTAGTGCAAAATTCTGTTGCTCAGTAGTCGATGTAGTTTTAAGAATACAAAAGAAGAACGAGAAACTATAACATGCATATGCGAGTGAGAATATAGAAGTATGGCGGATATCAAGTTGCTCACGACAATGCAATTTAACTATATGTGAATGAAACTATCCTGAACATGTCTCTTCGCCTGATGCCTGACTGTCGTCGACGGTCATTCAAAGCATATAAAAGTTTATTTATCAGACAAATATACGTTTTGTTAACAAGCGTTGTAAATAATAATAAGAGTTCTGTATTGCCGAGATGTTGTGACTATATCGATTCGATTATCATTATTAAAATCAACAGCTATTACGACTGGTAATAACCCATGAGTAAAAATCTTCATTTCTGTTTGAAAATTTCCATTTCCAAGGCCAAGAAATAAACTTAAATAATTAGCATTGTTATTAGCAGTGACAATATCCAAATATCTGTCTCCATTAAAATCACTGACAGCAATAGAGTACGGAGTGTGTCCAGTAGGAAAAAACTTTTCCACATAAAAATTCCCATCACCTAAATTCAATAGAATTGTCATCGTATGATTAAACGTATTAGTCATAGCAATGTCCACGTAGTTGTCCGCATTGAAATCACCAATAGCCAGATTTCGTGGATGATTGATTGTCGAGTATGAAATTGTCTGTGGAAAGTTTCCTTTGCCATCATTGAGATACACAGTAACAGTTTTTGCTTCTGTTTCTGCAATACAAAAATCGATTCGATTATCATTATTAAAATCAGCGGTCACTACAGAATAAGGACCGTCCAGAGTATATAAATGTTTTCTTTCTTGAAAACTTCCATTACCATATCCAAAAAATATACCAGCCATGTTACTACGACGATTGATAACAACAAGGTCCAGGTAATGGTCACCGTTAAAATCTGCGGTAGCTACAGCTTTCGGTGAAGAACCAGTTGGTAAAGCCGGCTCATGGAAGTAGCTTCCATTTCCAAAACCCATCAAGAAGCCAACACTACTGTAGTCGTCAGTTAGGAAAATAACATCCTTTTTCTTATCATTGTTCACGTCAGCAATTTCAAAATAATCGGTGAAAAAGAAATTATTATAGCGAACTCTGTCTTGAAATCTGCCATTTAAATATTTTGAATAAATTTGAATACTCTTGGAGTTTAAATTTGCGAGAATCACATCTGTTAGATTATCATCATCAAAATCACCGACAGCCATCGCTAAAGTTGCATCCAACATTTGATGAACTTCTGATGGAGCAAATGTCATTTGTTCGCATCTCGAATCTAATTCGAGAGACATTAAATAGGTATTAAACTGTCAAATAATCTTACGATTTGTCTGATTTTCTATTATCGAAGATATTGAAGTCGAAGTTTGATTGAAAATTCTCAATGTCGTATTATTTAAATTGCAAGAGGACGCCTCTGTTGTTGATGCTGCACAAATAAAAGTCATTAGTCGTTCGAGAGCAGATTCATACGTACTTATCTCGGTCATCGTTGACAATGTCTTGTGGTCATGTATCACGATTATCGACAGAATAGTCACTGCGATGACCATGATGATAAGACCAACTATAATAATCAAACGCGTCATTTTAGACAACATTCCGATGAAAGTTTAGTGCAGATAGAGACAGAATGTTGACGCGGAAAAATTTTGCTAATTGCTAAAAAAAACTGACGACGCTATGTATTTGTCTTTCATCGACGTTCAGGATGTATTTTAAAAGGACTTTTATCAAGATTAAATATTACCCCGTGTTGTTCTTTTCACTGTCCTTAACCACTTATATTTTGCTTCGATTGAGATAACCAAAATTGAACAATGCATCGATTTAATCGCATTAGTCGGCGTGTTATCAGTGCGAATATATTCGATGATGAGAATCAAGATGGATTCATCAAGCGAAGTCAAGTTTTATCGACACGAATTTACATTCCTCTCTTAATTATCATCTTATTAGGATTTTCATTGTATACGCTGTTAACCAATGAAAGAAAAACGATTAAGATCTCAGCACCTACTCAAGAGCAATATGAAGAATTACAAAATTTACGTTCGAGCAAATTAGAATGCCCATGTGAGAACATTTCGATTTCATACAAAAAACTTATGAATATAACGCCAAGTTATCATCCGATTTGTTCATCTGACTTCATCACTCCGTCCTGGATTGACTTTTTGTACAGTGAAAACATGAGCTACTACTTTCAATTGGATTTTCGTCATAGTGCCGCATTTTCATTTCAAATCCTTCGTACACTATGTGAACAAACTCAAGCAATCATAGAAGATAATTTAATTGAATTCTATTCCAATCAGTATTTAACTCTTCAACTTGTTTCGAACAAAACATTTACCGTTGAAACCAATGCATTCATCGATCTATTCAAACGCACAATACCGTCTTTGTTTCAAAATCAAATCACACTTTTTCGATATATGATGATCAACAATCGTCTATTTTCAGCGGTAGAAACCAAATCTACTCTGCAATTGGAAGGTATTCCTAATAGAGACAGCTTTTTGCTGCACATACACCCGATATATTATCACGAAGTCGCCACGAAAGGTAAAAAATTCGATTGCTATCAAAGCACATCGAAAATCAATCGATTACCCAGTGGAATCTACGTGAACTTAACACGATATGATTATCCAGGATCAAGTCCGATCCTATCCAGCAGAAACGCAAGTACATTAATGATAAATGCAACAATCATCTTACCCGGTCTATTTGTCGGCTGTTTACCTACTGAATCATTGATGCAGTCGAACTTGCGATGTTTTTTCAATGAAACTTGCTTAAGTATACTTATTTCTTACCTAAATGAATCAACGTCATCATTCAAAGTACTAAATGCATCAAGATTTCCTCCATCGACATCGATCGAAACATTAGCTTATGAATTATTCATCGAAAGCTGGTCTATTACCAAATCTTATGAAGAATATTTCCAACAATGCCATCCAACGTATTGTCAATATACAATCGAAGCGATGCGCAATGTTGTCAATGCATTCACAAGTATCATCAGTTTGTACGGCGGATTGACACTTGTCTTACGATTATTAGTTCCAAACATAGTCATGTTCATTCGAAATAAGATCCAACAACGACGACCGAATCTCACTGAAGCTGCTGATTTAGGTAAGACTTTGCCTGAGAACTACGTCGAGTCGTCTTTTCTGTTCCGATTTGTTTAGTACCTGTGAGAACTTCTTTGTATCTATTTCTGCGAAAAGTTCGTACTTTAATCATCGATTTAAATCTATTCAATAGTTATTCACAAATCGGAAGGATACAACGTAAAGAACAAATTGTTACAAGAGTCTACTTGATTGTTCTTGTGCTTTCTTTGATCATGTCTGGTGTTTATGTCTCCACAAAGAGTCAGAACAAAACCGTCGTCGTCGCCAATCCAACTATAGCTCAATTCGAACAGTTAAATAACTTATCCCTAAATGACTTTCGATGTCCTTGTACTCAAATCTCTTTTCGTTATGAATCATTCATCACTATTCACCCGAAGTTTCATCCTATATGTTCAAGTGTATTCGTATCTGACCTCTGGTACGATAATAATTATTGGATTGATCAAGAAAAAAATCTCGCTATTGATGACTTTCGATTTATTGCATACGAATACTTTTCTTTACTATCGGCGTTCTGTGAACTAGTTCATGATACTATTCAGACTAGTTTACTTCGATTTAATGCAACCGAATATATCACAATCGAACTCATTTCGATGCAGATACTTCAAAATGAATTTCTTTCGTTTCTTCATCTATTCGAATCAACAATCAAACAAACATTCAAACAAGCAATCGATATACTTCGGAGTACGACCTTCTCTAATCGTTTAATATCTTCACTAAAATTAGCTCAAACGACCTACTTTGATAGTAAGAATAAGCACAATGCCATCCAATGGTATTTCCTGGATTATGTCAATTGTTCGTGCGGAGTCGACTTCAACTGTAAAGCACAAATTCGATTTCGTGCATCTCTGTTCACACACGATTATGTTCGAGGAATGTATGTCAGTTGTTACATAGTCGATTCACTATTATTAACGACAACGGAATGCTTTTTCGATGAACAATGTCTTATGCGTATTAAGTCGTATATGAATGCACAGTCGATGTTGTACAAGATTTTACACCCGATGAATATTTCGCAAATAACTCGATTTCAGACGAACACGTCTATTGAAACGTTGGTGAAGAATTTGTTTATTGACGATTGGAACGCGAATTATTCGTATGAGAAGTATTACAGTCAATGTAGAGTTTCGTATTGTTCGTATACGATCGTACACCAAGTGGAATTTATTTATATTTCGTCGCAAATCATTGCAATATTTGGAGGATTGTTGGTAGTCTTGAAGATTTGTGCACGAATTATCATTCAAATTTCAACGAGAGAAAGACGGAGGGCACGGTTATTATTACCGTTGAATGTGTGCGAGAAATCTCGCCAGTTTGGTCAATGGATTAAATCGACGTTTTTGTACTTGAATTTGTTTCAAACGAAATCGAGGAACGTTCGCGTTGTTCGACGTCAACGATTAACTACGAAATTCTATCTGGTCATTCTATGGTTGAGTCTTGTAATACTTTTTTTCTATACTTCATTCACGCATGTATCGACGAGTTCTTCGGTAAGACTCTCCTCTCGAAATCATTATGAAAATCTCGACAAAATCTATTCAACCGCTCTCAACTGCCCCTGTAGTCGTATATCGATCGATTATGATGAATTCATTCAAATCCATCCGTCGTATCATCAAATATGTTATTCCAATTTCACCAATCGACAATGGTTCAATGGTTTATTCAATAAAAGCCGACAAATCAGAAACAATTTCCATTCGATTGGTTCGATTTATTTCCCTGCTATTTTGTTCCTATGTGAATTAGTACAGACAACGGTGAACACAAGTCTAGCGCAGTTGTACGCAAGGAAATTTCTTAGCATCCAGTTAATATCCTCGAAATTGTTTCAAATTCAAATCGATTCATCAGTTCAGCCATTCATACGATCAACTCCGAAAATCTTCGAACGAACATTTGATTTAGTTCGTGAACTGATTCAAGGCAACGCATTAATGTCAAGTCATGAATCAAACTGGAAATTTACTCTATTAGATTTGTACGACAGAGGGCCGGTCTATACAAATCCTCAATCTTATCAGAACTCATGTAGTTGTGCAACGTCAAACAAATGTTCACGGCCTGTTGGTTTACCTGGTCTATACATTGGTTGTTATCCATTCGAATCTTTGCTACAATCCTCATTAGAATGTTTCTACAATGAAACTTGCTTACAAACTTTCATGTTATCCATGAATTTCAGCGGATCAAACGAAGATTTCTCGACACTTAATTCATCATTGTTGAATTCTTATGAAATAAATGAAACAATTCAAAGTATGATCAATCGACTATTCGTTAATCAATGGTATATTAACAAATCTTACGATAAATACTTTGACATATGTCAACCAGTGGCTTGTACATATTCTTATGTCAAAGGTTTCAATCTATTCGACGTCGTCACGTATCTTTTTGCATTGTATTGTGGTTTATCAAAGACATTGAAAATTATTTTACCGTTTCTCTTTCATTTGATTTTTTTTGTTTTGAATCAAGGATCAACACATGTCGCGACAGCCAATGAAAATCAATAACGTTCTATATATAATCAAACATTGACAGCTGCGCCATATTTTCTTTTCCTTTTCTCTTTCATTTAGCGTCGACACGTGTGCACTACTTCTTTTTTGTTATTCGACTTCTTGACGCATGTTTTTGTTTGTATCCTTTAGATTTTCTCATCTGGTTGTCTGTCTATCAAATAAAACATGTCGAAAATTCTCGTTACTGGTGGAACGGGTGTTTTAGGAAGAGCAGTAACGAAATTATTCACTTCCAATCAAACGAATTTTGTTATCGCTAGTCGAGATAGAAATTTCAAGAATTATGACACAGAAAATGTGAATATAAATTTCAAGGGTCAATGGGTGCAGATGGATTTAGTGAAATCCAAAGGAATAAATCAATCGCTTGGTAAAGATATCGATACTATCTTACATCTTGCCAGTATGAATCTGGAAAAAGTTAACGGTCACCTCGGTGATATAGTTTTGACGAAGAATTTAATCGATTCTGTTGACAAACGACAAATCAAACATTTAGTTTATATTTCGATCGTCGGAAGCGATAAAATTCCATTTCCATACTATCGAGCCAAGTTACAATGTGAGCAGTTGATTAAAACAAGTGGAATTCCGTATACAATACTGAGAGCAACTCAATTTCATGATTTTGTTGATGCTATTGTTAGCAAATTACTCAACTTACCCATACCTATCGTTCCGAAAAAGTTAAAAGTACAACCAATTCAAATCGAAGCAGTTGCAGAGGAACTGAATAAGATTGCCAAAGGGTCACCGTCGAATCAGATTTATGACCTTGGCGGACAGAAAATCTACACATTCAAGGAAATAGCAGCATCATTAATGAAAGCTCGACATGAAAACAAAATGGTTGTTAATCTGCCTATCGTTGGTGGAGTAATGAAGGCATTTGCGAGAGGTGAATGTACTTGTGACAATA